CGGTCAGACACTCGCAAGTTCAAACGCCGCTGGTTTGCGTTCATTTCGTACAAATTGAAAAAAATTATGCATGAGAATGATCCCCAAAGCCTTCTGCTTCTAATGCCGGGTCACAAAAAGCCGTATCTCATTCGCTTTGGCGGTAATCTGACTATTTATCATCATGTTGCAATCGTAGTTTTTTACTAAGAAAAAAATGCTTTCGTTTCACCTACAGCACTTAACACAGTGTGTGCCCGTTAGTCCACCATACCATAGCCTTCCCTAATCATTTCTGAGTCGCATCGTGAAAGAATTAAGGTGCTAGCACAGGGCTGACCGGCGCTACAGAGGTTTTTGTCCGGGCGGTCGGGTGCCGCAGTGGGCGCGCAGTGGGCGGGTGGGTGCCGCCGCGCGGCGTCCTCCGGGCGGCGCGGCGCGGCGGCGCGGCCGCCCGGGCCGCCCGCTGCGCCGCGGCACCCGACTGCGCCGGACGAAAACTGCTGTAGCGCCGGTCAGCCCTGTGCTAGCGCCTTAATTCTTTCACTATGCGACTCAGAAATGATTAGGGAATGCTATGATATGGTGCACTAGCGGGCACACACTGTGTGAAGTGCTGTAGGTGAATTGAAAGCAAATATTTTTGGTAAAAGACTGCGGTTGCGACATGATTACAAATAGTTAGCTCACCGCCAAACCAAAATAGATACGGCTTTTTATGACGTGGCATTAGAAGCAGCAGGTTTCGGGGATCATTTTCATGTATAATTTTTGCAGTTTGTATGACATGAACGCACGCTAGCGGCATTTGAATTTCAAGTACCTGACAGTCATTTTACGACATCGAAAATGTCTCGACTTCTGACAATCATATACACGAGGCCGGTTTTGTCAAAAACATTAAAATCATACTTTTTCAGACACCCCAAACATTTGCCTGACTCACCATATTACGATTTATTCGATTAAGTGAACTTGAATATTGAGCCTGTTTCGTATTTATGGCCACTCGTGAACCCCATTTGCATCACTGTGCACTGGAAGAAAATTGCCTTTTTACAAAACCGGCCCATACCTCCCGGGTTTCCCCTACACCTGTTTTTACATCTTTTCCGCCCATGTTGTGAAAATTTCAGACCCGGGTCGTTTAAGGTCAGGTCACCAGGTCACGTCAAAAGACCTTACCTCAGGAAAAGTTAAAAGGCTGGCTGTAGCTACACTGACAGAACGGTCGCTTTGAAACTTTCAGCGAGTGATAAGAGTAACAATAGGTAGGGTGAAGTCGTTTAAGAGTACGCACTTTGTGGATTTTTTGCTCTCATTTGTTAAATATTTGAAAGAAAGAAATCGCAAATATAGAATATCAAAGTTCATTGAATTCGCCATAAACCCATGAGGCAACGATCCTTCAGCGTAAATGGAAGTTGTCTAAAACTGACGTTTTCAGAACCGCTGCTGTTGCGTACTCTTACCACATGGGGTGTCGTAAGAGTACCTCGCACACCATGCGGTTGGAGTACGCAAGCATATAAACACACACCTATAGGCAGCTTTTAGGGGAGAGCGGGGCCAGTTGAAACACGGGGTCAGATGAAACATGGCTTTATTTTCAACAGTATGCAACATATGGCGTTGCCGACACCACTGCGCATCCGCGCTCGACCACTGCCTTTGTCAACGGCGTCTGGGCGGCAAACGGACGGTAATTTTGATTTGACACTTGTTTTTGTGTTTTTGAGGGACGTTTGGGAGGAATCGTTCTTATGAATATTTTGTGATATCTCATATACCTTTGCTTGCTGAAAGAAGAACTCCTGGCTCCGGAATAACACCTTATTTGGCCCTTCATTCAGCATGATGCCGTCCCTCCAGCTCGTTTGACATGTGCTTTACGGCGCGTGCGAGATGGCGGGAGCGGATGGGGTCAATTGAAACGCTTCTCTGAGGGTCAGTTGAAACAGGGCCACAGGCCGTTTCAATTGACCCCGGTGACCTTTGCAATGGTTATTGTTCAGGGGCTGTAAACATTAAAGGAAAAAGTCCACCTTTGAAATGAGCTTTTAAACTGAAATAGCAGTTTAATAGAGCTCATTTTTTGACCCCTTTTTCTCCAGCCTTTTGCTTGAAAGCACACTATAGCCTGAGATATTTCTCATTTTTCTCATCCGCCCATTTTACCATAGTCTATGTACTTTATGTCACCTATTATGAGGAACTTTGCACTTTTAGCTTTCCAACGACCTATTGAATGTAGCATTTGGAAAAGTAAACCGGACAAAATATCTTCTTAAGAAAGTGGCCTTAAAGAGGAAAACATCCCATTGTTAAGGATAGGTGCAATTGACCCCATGGGCTGGTTCAATTGACCCTCGCATCGGGGTCATTTGAAACGGGCGTAGAGCTGTTTTATAAGCATGCGTTTGGCAGCAAAATATGTTTGAAACATAATTTTACATATCTTAAAATAAAGCCAAAAGAGCATATTTTTTCAGGGCATTGTGCATTTTTCGATATGACAACTAGATCTCGCTGTGCATGTCAATATACAAAAAGTGGTTCAATTGGCCCCGCTCTCCCCTACTGTCCAAATGCCTAACATCAAACTCAGAAGACATTTAATTTAATTCTAGTATCAAAAAAGAAAAACATAAAATAAATTTTGCATATCTATAAATCAAGAAATAATCAAGTCATGTGACTCTAAAAATGTACAATCAAAAGGGAAAATAAATCGTATTTAGGAGAATTTCGGGTACGCATCTGCCTCACAGTGCTCCATTGATGACATACCTACAAAAAAACGTCATTGAGCGATATATCAATAATTTGATATTTCTGTATATTCGATATAATGTATAATGCTGCGTACTCTTACCCTCATGAACAGTGCGTACTCTTACCCTCCATGCAATTCGCGCACAAAACAACCCCGAAACATTGTGCAAAACTTCACAAACAGAATATTGCACTGCACAGTATTTCCCCAGAAAACCTCTCAAGTTTCCCACAGTAATCACAAAAATGTACCTTATCTCAACTGCCAAGTATCAAAATTATTGTACCATACCATAATAATATCATAACGCTCCAAAATAATATTCATCGCCTTAAACTCAACAGCGTCGCCGCACAACGCCCACGTTCCGTAGGTGACAAACACGCACTGGCGGCTTCATGTCACTTCATGAACTCGACAAACCCGCGTTGCTAGGCAACCGAAACAGCTGATGCGTACTCTTATCGCCCGCGTCCTCTTACCCAGGGGTAGCCAGTAACAGTTGGTAGCATTAGGCCAAATGGGCGCTCAAAAACTACTACCCCATAGGGTTTGCATGTTAAATCGACCTTTTTCAAGCAAGCCCCACACGTAAGCTAAAAGATAAGTTGCCAATATTATTGTGGGGAAAGGTAGCCTAAAGCTTCCTCTACAACCTTTTTATCTAGCGTTTTTCGATGCGGAGGCCATAACAGGTCCAAAAAGCATTGGGCGCTGCCCGAGGTACCAAAAGCCCCTCCATGAGGGCACTAGTTCCTGCGCATGCGCACATTGCGTCAACCCTGTACTAGCGTAAGTTAGCGATACTGCTCACGGACTCAATCAGCCAATGAGCGTCCCCGATTGTATTAAAAGATGTCGCTAGCATTACGTAAATCCTGCTTGCGAACACATTTTAAGAATGAAACAGCTGCGCCATTTCCGCCTTCTAAAGATTCCTTCCATCTTAGTATCAACTAAAGGCTTTTCAACTGACTTTATTCTAAGTTTTAAACTATGGTTAGTATGTTATATCTGGTTCATATAATTTAAAAATAACTGCTTTATGAATTTGGCTTTACTCGTCATAATGGAATAATCTATTTATTCCATATTCAAAAAATATATCACCTTTCATGTAACTCATCCAGGTAAAATGGGCGCCTTCCGCGTCGTTGGTGTACCCGTTGTTCTATATACCCTGCTCTTACCCGCCCTTACCCTATGTGTAAAATGCATATCTCGGAATTTTGATATCTGTGACCTAAGGTCAGGTCAATTTTTCGACCTCTCCATTGTACCTAAGTCAATGGCAGAAAATTCAAATGCGCCTCTTTTGGACGAATGTCGTTTTAAACACTCTCAAACATCGGTTTATAGGTAAACATGACACAATGAATCGCAAAATTGCATCCGTGACTCCCTGTATACCCCTGAGGTCAGCCCAGGTCATGAAAGGTCAACAGCAGTTTTTTTACTATAACTTTTGATAAAGACGTGCTAGAGTGGTGAAAACACGTCATAAGTGTTCAGCTTCACGATACAGATCGACTGATATGTAGCACGACCCTTTCCGGTCAGGTCATGACCTTGATTTCAAAATTACCTTTAAGGTCATTTTATAGTTTATTCAATGCGTCTCGACGAAAGGAACACGATACCGATAAAAGCAATGTCGTAGCTTTCTTGATTCAAAAGTTATTCACGAAAAAAAACATTTTTTTTTCGTAAAAACTGCGATTTTTTAGATGTTGCCGAGGCTGAACCATTGACTAGGATTTTTTAGCTGTTGCCGAGGCGGAACTATTGACTGGAGGTAAAATCTGAGAACAATACTCAGAAAGGCCTGTGAAAGAGCTATCGCATGCGCTTTCCGCGGGGCTGTAGCTCTATTGGTTCCCGAGTTATGCGTCGGGTGTTTCGAAAATTGTTGAAATAGACAAAATTTGACCTTTGATGACCTCTGGTAACCTGAGCTTTGACCTGACCTAAAAATGACCGAAGTATTCCCGTCATTGCTTATGACGCTCTTTCGAATGCCGCTTACTGCGTGTCGCTATATGGCCCAGGAGCCGAATTAGAGGGGGGGGGGGTCGTGAAAACGCCCCCGCCCAGCACGACACGGAAAAATTAGACCCCAGCACGGCGCGGGTTAACACTAATCTGAATCAAATGCATTTCAACATTTCAACGTAATTACCTCCTATGCTCTGTTGGCTTCACGGAGCTTCAAAGCTTTCAACGAGAAGTGAACGAACAAAATAACTAGCAGCAATACATTTATTGAGCTCTACATCGACATACGTGAGCCTTAACCCGACATATTCTAGTATCGTCTTGAAGGCTTAATACGTTCACTCATATACTTTTCCAACCCGTCCGCAATGAGGAAACGCCCTTATAGCGAAATAAAAAGGCAATAAACATGACAAAATCATTTTCAAGTAAAAAAAAGCTAAGCGAGTAGACCAGTTTCAAAGTTGACGCGGCACTACTACTGTACCTATGTCCAGGACAGGATAGGATAGCAGTATCAAGGAACAATAGACACTGGCGGGTATACCTCTGTACCTAAAATTTTGAGTTTATCCCATTATATAAGCGGTCCCCGGACCGCGCGATTACACTGAGCCCTGGGTAACAAACACAGCACGCGGTGGCCACGCTCGGTCAGCTGCGGCCCGCCCGGCGCTGCACCTGCCCTGTTGCGGGCCGCCCGGCCGTGACGGCGTGCCCTCCGACCGCCGGGCCGCCGGCTGCAGGGACGCCGCGGCTCCGACCGCCGGGCCGCCGGCTGCAGGGACGCCGCGGCTCCGACCGGCCGCCGGTGCCATCGTAGAACGGCTCACCACCGCCGGCAGCACTGCGCTCAGCAGCCATCGTTAGCCGGCACGGCGGCAGGGCGAGCTGCAGGCAGCGCCGGCCAGTGTCGGCGTCAGTCGGCGCCGGCCACCTCCGTCAGCGGCCCCGACAGGTAGCCGCCCAGCGCCTCGGCTTTGGCCCGCAGCATGCCCAGCGGCACGGTGCGCGCGCCGAACACGCACAGTAGCAGAGACGTCACCGGACAGACGCACATGCGGCCCTCCTGCCGGGACAGCGGACAGCGGGACAGTGTCAGCGGTACAGCGGGACTGCGGGACAGTGACAGCGGGACTGCAGAACAGTGTCGGGGGACAGTGACAGCGGGACTGCAGAACAGTGACAGCGGGACTGCGGAACAGTGGGACAGCGGGACAGTGTCAGCGGTACAGCGACAACGGGCCATTGCCAAAGACCGCGAAAGACCGAGACAGCGATTTTCTACCTGGTCGACCACAAATCCCATTAAGCACTCGTTTTGTTACCTATATACAATCTCCGAAGCGACCTAGCACAAAATCTCACAATTTTCTCAGAGCGGCATGCGACATAAAAGCGAAAACAGCAACGGAAGGGTGAATATTAGAGACATGGACCTTTCCAATACAGTAGAATCCGCTTAATAAATCCGCCTTGGTGACGACATTTTGGATTTATTGACCCGCGCCGGGCCGGTGCTTCGAGACTTCCGTGCCGGGCCGGGGGTCTGTATCTGAACCCCTCCCCCTTCTAACTCGGCTCCTGGGCCACATAGCGACACGCGGTAAGCGGCAATCGAAAGACCGTCCAAAATAAGACCAAAACACTTCGGACATTTTTTGGGTCAGGTCAAATGTCAGGTCACCAGAGGTCACCAAAGGTAAAATGTTGGCTATTTCGACATTTTGGAAACTGGGGCATTCCACGATAGATCGTAAGTACCAGACCCGTCACCCTCATCTCTCAGATTTTAATGAAAATCGGTTCTAGGGTAAGCATAGGCCCCAAACACGCCTGGCAAAATATCAGACTTCTCAGATCAAAACTTTTTTAGTTATATTGCATTACATTTTGTTAACTTCGGTTTGTAACGGTGAGTTTGATGGCCTATAACTCAAGAACGGGTTAAGCAGCCAACAAACGGTAAACAACACTTAGCTTGCGATGAATCAAAAATTAATACTACTTTTAAAAATTCCAAAGACAAATTTTCATTGTTGAACAAAAACCTTAATCTTTTTTCATTTGCCTCTAATGACTTTTGGTACCAAAATTTTCACATTTTTATTTATTCAAAATAAACTTCATGCCATTACAAATCGACATGCAAAAAATTAGAAGGGTTTTCTTTTTATAAGTTCCTCATTTTCCCCAAACAAAATGGGTTTCGGAGGGGTTGATACGACCCCAGCACGCCGTTTCGCTTCTAATAGAGCTAGAACCTAGCGGAAAAAACGAGCGTGTATGCCGTTACAAGTCGCAGCGATTGATACCCAATTTTAAGGTCTCAGGTTAACCGGTAGCGTCTGAGGTCAGGTCAAGTGACTGAAGTTAAGGGTTCGGTTTTTAGTAAATAACTTCGCAAGTAATGGCCGCAGAGCCGCGATTTTGCATCATTGTGTTCGCCTAGCTCAGGTGCGTCGAATGGTATACTTTTTGTTAGGGTGAGATCAACTTAAGTAGTTGACCTCGGGTCAAGGTCAGGTCAGAGCCCCTCAGGTCACGAAGCTGGGCAAATGGTATCATATGGCATATCACATTCGATTCGGAAGGTCTTCCCGAGCCCATTGGTGGCTTTCCCGACTCACTAGCTCAATTTGATCGGGAGTTATTGACGAAAAACTCGTACGACCCTAATAACGTCATAATTGACGTCACGCAAGGTTAACAATGCGAAAGTAAGGCATTGGACTTTGCAAGGAGTGCTTGAAATCACGATAAGATGTACGTGAGATAATTTTAGATCATTCTCGGCGCCAAAATAACAATTGTTTATATTTCCCCATTGACTTATAACAGTGATGTCACCGTGACATCAGGTCGGTGACGTGACATTGTCACGTCACCGACCTGACCTCATGTGACCTTAAAAAAAAATTCCAGATATGCAAGTTGTGAGACCTCTTGAGGACACCATGTATGCGTCCTGTAACTTTCATCTCAGACAGCTATGGTCATTGGCGTCCAAAACAATGTCAGAACCAAACAGACTTTTTCACTCTCGCGCTTACGGGAAAGAGGGTTGGATGAGCCCTCTTTTCATTTTTTTCAGATGACTCAGACTTCAATTGAAATTTCAGTAACCCGTGATGTCACTAGGCAGCTTTACCACGCCATTTGTAAGCTCCCCTCCCGAAATCACTATTCGAAACCGATATCGTGACGTAAAATAAATGCATTTATAGAAAGAACACATTCCTAATTTTTTGCATACTTCTTAACAATGACCCAAATATTTTTTTTTAAAGAAATAATAATTCAAAAAAAAAGTTGGTCACAAAGTCCAAAAAATACAAATGAAAGAAAACTCGATATGTTATATGTCAGAAATAACGTATTTTTCGAAATTTCAGAAATACATATTAATCTCTGTTTCATTGCAAGTTCAATGTTATATAACATTTGGCATTTGAATAATCCGTCTCAGAGTTACAGGCCGCCAAACTTAACGCTGCAAAGCAAGATCCAAAAAAGATATTATACATCATAACTCAAAAAATACTTATCTGATAAGCGTGAAACTGTTACAAGAGGGTGATTCAGAGCCCCTGATTACCCCTGAGACCAATTCTCGTCAAATTCCGAGAGATGAGGGTGTCAAATTGGAAAAAAGTGGTACGATCTCAAAGTCAAAGTCATTTATTAGAGACACGTCCACGATGTGGTTATTATGTGTCCAGTCAATGGAACATAATACAGCATTAAAATTGACACCCACCGCTCAGGTACACATATATGCATTTTATCATGACACGTAAGCTGCGAATAGCTGAGGATGAATGCGATGAAGGGTAAAAAGTTGAGAAGTTTAGAGTGCTGCACAGATAAAGTTAAAAGCGTGGAAATATATAAAAGTGATTCACTGACGAGGGGCACGCGACAAAGCTCTGGTAAAGGCAGCGCGGCTAGGCGCTTGTCTTGTTTGTGAATCCAATTTGTTCCATGCACTGTCTGTTCTATCTGATCTATCGTGGAATGCCCCAACTGCCAACGGCTAACTCGGGAACCGAGGGAGCTACAGCGCCGCGGAAAAGCGCATTCGATAGCTCTTTTAACGCTCTTTCGCCATCACGTCCTCAGATTTGACCTCAGGTCAACAGTTATGCCTCCAGAGGGCAAAAACTCTAAAAATAGCCGTTTTTACAAGAAGCGTTTTTTTTCGGCAATAACTGTTGACTCAAAAGAGCCACGACATTACTTTTGCCAGCATCGCGTTCCTCTCGTCGAGACGCTTCGAATGAACTGGAATTTGACCTTGATAGGTCAACTTGAAAATTTAACCTCAGGTCAAGGTCATGACCATTGACCTGACCGTAAAAGGTCATGTTGCATATATGCATATATCACCTCCTGTGAATAACCACTAGTGTGTGTGTCTGACCGCTAGGGCCCCTCTGACTCCTCAGTAGAGAGGAGGCCCTCTGTGGGTAGGAGGCCCTCTGTAGAGAGGAGGCCCCTTAGAGAGGAGACCCCCTGTAGAGAGGAAGCCCCCAGTAGAGAGGAGGCCCTCTGCAAAAAGGAGGCCCTCTGTAAAAAGGAGGCCCTCTGTAGAGAGCAGGCCCTCTGTAGAGAGCAGGCCCCCTGTAAAGAGGGAACCGTCTGAAATCAGAAGGCTTTTGAAGAGAGGAGGCCCTTTGTAGAGAAGAAATCCTCTGTACAGTAGAAAGGAGGTCCTCTGTAGGTAGGACGCCCTCTGTAGAGTGGAGGCACTCTGATGAGAGGAGGCCCTTTGCAGAGATGAGGTCCTCTGTATAGAGGAGGTCCTGTGTAGAGACGAGACTCTTTGAAGAGAGGAGGCCCTATATAGATAGGAAGCCCTCTGTAGAGAGGAGGCCCCTGTAGAGATTAGAGAGGAGGCCCTCTGTAGAAGAGGCTGCCCTCTGTAAAGGAGGCCTTCTGAAGAGAAAAGAGACCCTCAGCAGAGAGAAGACCCTCTGTAGATAAGAGACAATTTGTAGAGAGGAGGCCCTCTGTAGGTAAGAGGCCCTCTGTGGGCAGGAGGCCCCCGGTAGTCAAAGACAGCGTCGTATATTAAATAGAGTGGAGGCCCACTGTAAGCAAATTACCTTCTGGCTTCTGGTCCCTGCTACTCTCTAATGATCGAACTGAGAACTCAGGAAACTGTAAAGAATAGACTCCCAACCGCGTCGCCGACCACTGTAGGAAGGGACAGGCTGAAACAGACTGTTTCCGCGTTCAGGAAATCGCATGCGAGAGCCTATTCAAATACATTGTAATTCTCGCATCAATCGCTTGCGGGAGGTGCGTGCGATTGATGCGAGCGTGCTTCCATGTATTTGAATAGGCTCTCGCATCCGATTTCCTGACTGCGGAAAGAGTCTGTTTCAGGCTAAAGGAGGAGGTCCTCTGTAAACTGAAGGCCCTATGTAGACAAATAAGTTGTATAAATGCGCTCAGACAAATCATGCCGGGTGCCGTCAACGGTTTTGTGGTCAATGGTTTTGCCTGCAGTGGGCAAAAACTGCAAAAACAGCCGATATTTTCGGAAACCACTTTTCGGCAATAACCTTTGTCTAAAAAATTTGCACGAACTTTCTTTTACCAGTATCGTGTTCCTCTCGTCACGACGCGTCGAATAAACTATCGCTTGAACTTGAAAGGTCACCTTGAAAATTTGACCTCCTGACCGATAAGGGCTAAGTTCCATATCAGTCGATCCGTATCGTCGAGTCAAACACAACTAAGGTGTTTTCATCGCTCTAGCATGCCTATATCAAAAGTTATTCGCGAAAAACAGTCAGATACCATTGGTGACATGATATGACCTCAGGCATATACAGGGTGTCTCAAAAGTTCGTTGACACATTTCCCATGTCAATAAATCATACAAGAACCGGCCAAAAATCTAAGGTTTTGGTGTCTGTGTATACACTAGACAAATATGCCTGCTTTGACAACTGATTCGGAAGGTTGGAAACCAAACCCTTTGCTGTATCTCCAAAAATATTTATCTATTTTCGTCGCTCCGTCAGCTGCCGGAGGCTGATAAAAGGTTATCAGCTTTCA